AACTCAGTGTAAGTAACAAGTTGAAAAATGCTGACTCCGCGAGTTCAACTGATCGCGCCGAACACAGTGCGGTCGGCGAGCAACGCATATTAGCGCCTACTAGACTGTAGAAGTACCTCACGCATTACGCGTAAACCACGGTGCGCGCTGAGCAGGTGTTAGCGCCTACAAGACTGGATGAATACTTCATGCATTGTGCGTTCTCGAATTGTATTTGAATGGCCGTTTTGAAAAGGGGCACAAGTCCACCTCTTTTTCTACATTGACTTATTGACCCATTTTCGCTTTCCAGAGGCAAGAACTTGTGCTACTAAAATATTTTATACTAATCATCCTTAAATGAGGATTATAAACGTCATAAGATATCAGGAAGTGGTGTCGGAAATCGTAAATGGTGTTCTCTAACGTTTAACCGCTTTCGATTAACTGATCTACGGTATTGAGCAATGAATGTTGCTATGAAAGAAATTATGTTTTTTGAAAACCACCATTGATTCTTTAAAAAGTGATTTAAGGAGGTAAAAATTGCATAACTCATTATTTTAAAAAAAAATTGACTCAGGCGGTCATTATGAATTTTGAGGTCGATTTCACTCCATCGATCGATTTACACTCAACAATGTATTTTATGATCATTATAATAAAAATTCCGCAGTTTCTTTTTTTTTTGTGCACTTTTTCAAATGGCTATCCAATTGTTATAATTTACTCTCGGTCTTTGAGAAAGGCCAAGAAGATTAATGAATGCAACTTTGGGGATATTTATGGCGCTACAAACGGATCCTCACTCTAAAGTGTCCCCGAAAGAGAAGTTTTTATAGAAGTTCCTCGAAAGGAAACCAGAGCTCCCTTCCCTACAAGTCTGAATCGGACAAGCACCAAAAAGGGTTGTTCTAAACCTCAATGCACTTCCCAAGGCTGTCAAGACCCCTAACAAAAGGAGATCCTGACTCTAATTTCGTGTAATGAATCCAGCAAAAGCACGCTTAGTGCACGTAAAGATAATTCATTCATGCCGGAACTTCAGATCAATATCCCTAGCCGCTGGTCCTTCAAAAGGGATGCAGAATCCAGAAAAGGGTGGTTTTAATTCCTCTCGGCTGATTTATAACTTGTCCCTTTTATTCCCTCCCCAACTGGAGCTCCGCGAGGAACCTTTTTATTTTGTTATTAAATGTCTTTGTGTTTCCTAACGTCCATGAATTTCCTGTCTTGACGTAGCACCATATACCTTGTTTTGGTCCTCTATACCTCTTACTCTATTTTGCTGCTCCTCTCTCCTGTTCAGCCATCCTACTTTTATTTTTTGCTTTGCCTAGTTTTTTACATCGCGAGTTGAGACTTACACGTGTTGTTATTTAATGCCTTGAAGATCTCTCCTTCTTTTAATTCTATGGCAACATATGGAGGTATGTGAACTTCAAATTGATTCGCAATAAAGTTGAATTTTTCTCCCGGAGAAAATTAAAATGAGTATCGTTCCGTTGCAGTTGCGAAGGTTTACTCTACCGTTCTCTTCTGTATTCGGTCATCAGAATCGAGTCGAATTTTGTGGAAGGAAGATGTTTTCATATTTGATTTAAGAATTACTTTTAGTTGGTAAAAAAAATGCATTTTTTCAAATACGCTTTCAAATAATCTTTCGATGAGTAACACGATTTGGCAGTGATATTTGGTGCAAGGTTTCTCTTAACAGGTGTAGTCTGCTACCATGTTTGACGAGATGACCTGGTTGGCAAAGAGAATTGAAATCTGACGAAATGTCATTTTTTCACGGTCGCAGCTTGGTACCAAATCACATTTGTTTCGTGCCATAGCTGGATGAAAGAGGTGCAATTGAAATAAAGTAAAATTTGGTTTCGGCATGCTGGCGCTTTTGTTTTCGAAGTGTTGCACAAATGCACGACCCACTCTTTTTATCGTGAAACCACCCTCAGAAAGATTCTTGCTCACCAATTTTCTGTATCCTTACTCCGCCCGAATTCCTTTTAGTCACTACCGAATCTGGGCAGAATAGTCGATTAATACGGCCTATATCCAAAATTGTTTGTCAACGTATAGAATCTAAGTGGACGCCCCTTGTCTACTTTCTACACCCATTATAATGAATAAACGGATGCATGCTCTGCAGAGAAAAAGTTTCACCCGGAAACTTAAACTGAATTCACGCAGAATCATTCGGAGATGCGTATTGTACATCCAAATTCTTTCCTCAACAGACATCTCATTATGGAGAGCTATAGAGCTCTTAATCGGCAATTTTCAAGGAGTTTTGACGGCTGAAATTAGACGAGAAAAATATGTGACTATATATATAGCAGCTACACTAAAATAAAAGACTGGCCAATGAAAGAATTCTGAAGCTTGAAGAACAGAACTTCAACGGAACTAAACTTTGGAACTTAGGCTCCCATCCAATCATCGTCGTTAGGTACACTTTCCTCAGGGCCGCCCGCTTATCAGCGAGTTCGCCTTCAGGAACGCCATCACATTGAAGGATATTTCACGGAAAGGGAAAAACTCACTCAAAACTGCTCTTTTCCGAACCTCGAAAACTGCCCTCTGTTTTTTATGACTAAACGGAACAAATATTGACCGGCATTAAACTGTTGACTTCTTACAATAAAATACAATAGCCACCGGCGAGGTCCATCCGTGACGGGAACTTAGTAGCCAACCGGATCTCTCACGAAATATAACTTTCCTGTTCAAACCCCTCGCTCCTACATCTTCTTCCTTGTTTATAACCCTCAAAATCCTCATCAAAGTGTCAGGGTTCTAAATGAATTACATTTTGTAGTAAGAATCTATTTTTTTTGGTTCATCCATGAAAGCATCTGATTTACATGAGGGACCTCGGAGTGGGAGAGGAGGAGGAAAAAGAAGTAGAAAGAAGGAAAAGAAGAGAAAGAAAACAGAAGAGACGATGAAAGGGAAAGGGAGAGAAAGAATAAAGGCAGAAGAGAATAAAAACGGAAAGAAAAAAAGAGGAAGAAAAATATGAAAATGAAGATGAAAGAGGGGAAGAAGAGCAATAAAGACTGAAGGAATGAGAAAAAAATACGGAAGAAGAAAACGAAGAAAAAGTATTGAGATGGTGAAACTCCACGACCGTGTATTTCGATTTGCAACGTTGCCGGTTTCATATCATACGTTAGTTTTTAAACGGATAGGTACCCAACATTTATGCTTTCAAACTTTTTGATATTTCTTCTTTGTGCGAAGAAAATCCTGTGAAAACTTCACGGAAAGGTGTTGATTTGTTCACTTTCAAAAAATTAAAATGGGCGCGGAGATTTTAAAACACCGAAAACGAGATACATGGTTTGGAAGTTTCACCGGCGATTGGTTTACGTACCAACATTAATAGTGCACACTACCCCAAATGAAAAAAATAGCCTCCAGTAATAGTTCCCAGTTGCAAAATGTAGCCCAATTTTGACTGAGTACCTATCCTAATACCGACCTTTGACCGAGCCACTCTTTCAATAAAGCATAGAACTTTTTCTTTTCTTTTCCATCAAAACACGACGGAATGTATCAAACTTGGGAGGTTGTACTGTTCAATGCTGATTTCATTGCCTCCTTACAATTTAGTTCCAACTTGAGAGGAATGTTAACGGAAAAGTCCGGCATGGAGGTCGCAATCCAAGCGTCACTCATTTTTGCACTGAAAGCTCGGCTGGGGGTGCGGGCGACGCCAAAAAGAAGGCATTGATAGGTAAAGGCTTGGACTTCAGTCGTCGCAAATACGCCAGCTCAAGAAGTAAAATCTCGGTCTTGAAAGCCTTGTGAAGAGGAAGTGAATTCGGAATTGATTTATTTAATTGCAATTCCTGTCTTCGGGTTTCGCGTTAGTTAAATCCATTAGAAGCGAGTCGTCTGTCAGGGCTCCTCCCTCTCCTTTACTTGTTTCATCCCGTTTGATTTCCGGTTTTTCTCAAATTCGTCCCTTTTCTACTTAATGCTATCAACGGCTTTCTTTTAATTTGAGACACGTTCTCTTTCTCTCCTACTTTTGTCTCTGACGTTTTAAACGCTGTCGTGGAAATGCGCTGTAATTCTAAGAGGAGAAAACTCGTTTTCATTCGGAGTGCGACGTTCAATTCTAAAGTAAATCGTTAGGAAGGATTAGAAAATTGTGTAATCATTGCATATCCACAGAATAACTTCGACGACAAAATTCCAATCATTATACCTATTAATCTTTTTTTATTGTTTTAATGCGAATTCAATTGCAGAGGTGTGAATGGCTAAAGTTGCTAAAGCACTTCTATATAAAATAAATGCATTCTACTATTATTACTGCATCATCATCGATGTGATCTCTGGTAGAAAGTAGAGTCCCTTTATATTCAGAGGAGTGGCGTGGCGTGAAGGATCGATTATCGATATTTCTCCATTTGAAGCTGTAGTAAAGAATCGATTATCAATATGTTCGTTGCGAACAGTTTCATAATCGATCCTTTTTCATAGATTTAAACGGTAGATCAATCGACATATTGCAAAGCACGCCACGCCACTGATTGAGAGTTAAGACAATGTGAATCCACTTCTGATTGGTTCCCGTATTTCAGGCCTCCATAGTGTCACAAACGGGAATAAAGATTACATTTTCACCAATTGTAAAGATTGGAATGGACTGAGGAATTACGGGTTCAACCAGGAACAAACGAAATGAGAGGAGGAACGGAGAAAGGGATTTGAGAATGAGCCGATCAAAGATTACGAAAAACGTTCAATTTGTGTAATCTTTAATCTCGTTTGTGACTCCATGAGGGGGTGTTGTCTTGACTCTCAGTTTAACGGGGCTCTAGTAGAAAAAGGTGGGTCACACAAGATGAGATCGATAATTTTGATTCTAGGAATTTCCGATATTGCGGGAGAAATTGGTCGATCTTATAACGCTGATGAACAATAAGAAAAAATGCTGCGTTAGAAAGATTTTACCATCATAAATTGCTGGTTAAAGTATCAATGTTGTCATTTCTCTGTTGCAGAAAGAATCATCAAATGCCAGCGTTGTAGTCTTGCAATACGTAGGATTCAGCCTTTCCGGGAATCTGTCCTGCGAAGTGACCGCTGATGCTCCTTCGTTTGCTACAGCAGTTGTGTCTAGGCAAATTCTAGTCGTTGGTAAGTTTTGCGAGTCTGCTTATACTTTTGAAAGTATAATTACTACAATTGAAAGAAAAATTATTGAATTAAAAGAAGATGACAAATATGTACTTTCATGCCGATTTCAAAGATAAAAATTCGACTGAAATTTTAGAATAGCATAATGCTGAAAATTAACCCATTTCCGGAACGAAGTCCCTCATTTCATAGGATCGCCAGAGACTTGTAATAATGCTGTTCACTGAGTAAGAGGTTTTGTTTTATCCACAAAAAAGGCACTTACGGTCCAAATCAAATCCAAACCCGGACAACCGTTTACATGTAATAATATACGATAATAACTGCACAGTGTGTACTTCTTAAGACTACCACGACGACGAGACCGGACGGCCAGGATAATTTGAGCGCCTTCAATTTAGTCGTATGCAACACGGACGTCCATTGAGTACGAATAGTTGTATTCGGAGTATGAATAGTTGTATGTTTCTGTAGTTGAAGGCGCTCGAGATTGTTACACCTACCTGCCTAACTGTGGGCGGGGGTTTCTCTCTTGCAGTTTCAGGACAATGTGAAATGGACCACGTCAAGCAGAAAGAAAACAAGCCACATCAGCTATTTATAAAAACTGGGTAATTCAATTTTTTGAAGAAAATGTTTGTGCGGGTTCCTATGAAAATTTTGAGTATTTTGTTTCGTATTATGCAGGAAATTCACTATTTGCACAATAATCCATACGACCATTTACATGTAAAAAATGAAATTGCCTAATTCAGTTTGGTAATAGTTAATGTGGCTTGGTTCCACTCTGCTTAACGCAGTCTAATTACATCCATCCACCCTCCCATTGGGTGCTCTCCATGCGCTCTGAAAAATGGACATTGGACCGATTCAAGATATTTCTGTTCTGTATGGATTTCAGTGACTTCACAATGCGTGACACTCTCCCATAGCTTCCCTCAAAAATGAATATTTTATCGGAGAAATTTGGCAACGTCAAAATGTTAGTGCGGCTGTGTAAACTTGGTTGGTTCTATCAATCTGGGTTTTGTACCGTAAAAAAAAAATAAACAAAAAAAGCATGATTGAAGTGCACCAATAATCGGCACGAAAGAAGGGTCTATATTCAACGACACATGTTCCAGTAGTGTTTCATGGATGGCAGGATAACTTCCCGATAAAATGTTTTATATTCATGATTGTTTGATAGCTTTAACACAATATTACACCTTTCTCCTCATTTTTCTCCTCTCTCTCCTCCTTCATTTTCCTTACCTTCTTTTCTTCTCTCTTTTTTTTCTGCTCCTCTCTCTCTCTACTACTTTATCTTTCTCTTCCTCCTCTTCTCCAACAGATTAAATCTCGATCAATTGATAAATTATTTCTACGCAAAATCAATGGCAAATCTTTGGACGCTCGTCACTACAAAACTTCTAAATTTATATCTGAGAAAGGAGCATTTTAGCCCCAAAATCAAAATCGTATTGATGAAAAAGCTAAGATGCTCTAATTCATGTGTTCTGATATTTTATTTGTTAATCATCTGTGTTTTTTCTAGGCATATAATTATTTGTCTCCTGAAATATATTATAGAAATCAATAAGATGAATGAATAAGTTCTAGAAATCGTGAGAATAGTCAATAACTACAAGTCAAAGATGTAATCATCTGAAAAAGGTGCTACCAGGGGTCATGAAACATCAAATAGACTGAAGTATCGACCCCTGTGTATTACTACCAAAACTAGCACCAATTTTGTCGGCGTTTAGCCGAGGATAAAACCCTCGTTTCCACCGTCCACCACGAGGAGGAACCGACATCAGACGGCACGCTTCCACCGTCCAACTTACAACTCCCATGGCATACGTTAATTTGAAATTCAAAATTTTGAAGAAATTTTGAAAAAATGGAGAAGAAATTTTGAAAAATGGAGAAGAAATTTAAAAGACAAAGGCATGGGGCTCATGCCTTTGATGTTAGTGAGATTTAATAAGGATAACCTTATTTTTAAAATTTTTTTAAAATTTAATAATTATTAAAGATCTCATGCCATGAAGAGTTGGGTTGGCGTTCTGGGCGCACCCTCACTCACAACAGTGAACAATTCGCCAATGACCGAATGCAGGGAACTCCTCTACCACCGTGCG